GCCTCCTTTGAACTGCCTCCTCTCCATTCCTTTTTATTTCTTTGCATCTCTTTCATCAGCAGAATGTCAAAATGATGTCTACATTCTGTGCACATAATGCCAGTCTACAACACTGGACTTGAAATGCCGTGAAATTCTTTGTTTAAAGCATTTCTGCTTTTGCCCACACATTAGAAACCAGTTTTTGACTTGCACTCTTTAAACAATGGTTGTCAGGCTACAGTACTGTGTATTGTTGGCCAACCTTTGGGCTTTCGGCACTTCTATCCCTTCAACATTTTGCTTGCTGCAGTTAAAGGTGTCCCTGTCACTGGAGCAAGGAGTAGCAACCGAATATAAACTGCAGCAAAGGAGAATTTGTCAGCAGTACAACTCCTTTCTCTTTGAAAACAAAGTAGAGGATCTTGAACTCTTTATGCCCAGGTCTACTGTTTTTCTAGTTAGTCATGTGCAGTGTAAAAAGCTATAATGACCATTTTGCTGCAAGACAATTGTAGGAACAAGAACTGTCTGGACGTTCCCAGTGAGCTTTCTCCCCCAGAAGTCCCCATCCTCATGTATCGTCATGCAGCCAAGTTAACATCTCTTGTTACATCTTGGGTACAATGGTCAAATTCTTTCCATCCAGAGCCTAAATAATTGCATGCCATGATAGATCACACTTCATTAGGACTTGCTGTTTCAAACCTCTTTTCTAGCACTCTCTATCTTGTGGTCAGCTTCGCTGAGTATGGATGCTATGGTAAAAGCCGTTCCAAGTAGTTTTGGAGTCCACAATATCCACAATATCATTGTGAGTTCTCAGACCTTTCTGTCCTCCTCCCAGACACCGAAGTCTTATTCATTAGGAACAATTCACCCCTCTAGTGGAAGGATCTTAGCACTGCAGCTTGAGCTCCAACAAACAGTGAGTTTCAGGGCTTAAAGAGCGTCTACAGATATTTTCAAATTATTGTTATAAAATTCCCCCTTCTTATGCTAGTTTGTTATTAAATATAACCCAATAGAGAAATCTCTTTAAAACGTTCATTTGCTTTCTTATGCTTTTACACAGGGAAACGCTTAGAGCTATAGAAAGGCAGTCCTAACACTAAGAGGTTTTTGTTTACACTCATGTCCACTTTTCCCTTGTTTAAAGTCAAATAGAAATTGATTAGAAAAAAAGGGCTTTGGTATACTGTACAGAGTTAAGCAATAATAGAGGATGCTTTTTGCCCGTATACTTTCTGTAACAGTAAGGTTATTATTAAATCAACAATGTGGTACCAAAGAGTCAAAGCATTCAGCCAAAGTGGATGACAATGGAAAACCAGTATGACTAGCAAAGAATACTGGTAGCCATAGGAAAAGGATATGGAAGTTCCCATTTCAGCGCTGCTACTGCAATGTCCTTGTCACTAAAAATACTGGAACCTAAAAAGGCTTTCCAGATTTACTAGTCTAGAAGGCCCCAAGAAGGGAAATAATTTGTCCATGGTCACACAGCCACTGAGTGGCCATCATCTCGTTTCTCCTGACGCTGAAGCCCATAACTCTTCCTAACACATCCTGATCGTCATGGCACGACTCCGAAGTCAGACGGAATGGGTGTGCCTCCCACCTTGGCTGTGCACTGCCTGGGTGAACACCCACAGTTTCAGTAGTTGCTCCACGTTGCTCCCGCCTGTCTGCACAGGGGTCCTGGCTATGCCCACCTCAGAGATGCTTTGTGAGGGTGGAACTGAGGTGCAGTTGGACGTGTGCTCAGGACAGGGCAGGACGCATCGTGAGTGCGCCGAATGGGATAACAATCACTCCCAATCACTGCATTGATGCAGTATTATCATGGCTGCATCTCTTTCCTCTTTCTCTGTCTGTCGTTTTGGGACATTCTAAAAACAGAACTTTTTTTCACTCCTCGGAGTTAATGAGTATGTAAATTAAGGGAAACTTCAGGTGTATTTTTTTATTCTATTACTCATAAGAATTTCAGTACTATGAGGACATTACTAATCTTCCCCTTCACGTATGCAGTAATGTAAGGGTGGAACAGCTGTTTTAAGAGAGGATTTTGATGTTTTTAGAGCATCACATACGTTGCCTCTATTAAGCCAGGTTTGTAATATAATTTGAGTATAATTTGGATACTATGGTATATTAGAATCAAAAGATTATAAAGTGCAAATGAGGGTTTTTTCTTCTGCTGACATCATAACAGTTTTTACAGAGCCATTACCATCTCGATGGCTATGGATGTCACGCAGTCATTATCCTCCGATCGTAACGAGGTGGACCATTACTGCCTCCTTTGGAGACCTTATGGTCTGAGATGTTAACGAGCCTTCGGGGAACCCTAAATCTTGGAATGGTTGGCAGGGTACTCCAGACCATAACAGAACTTCTTTGCAATGACAATGGATCCTGTCAATTTCTATTAAGTAGCTTCTTAATTCCCCAATCATTAAGATAGTGGAAGGACTTATTATACTAGCCTGTAATTAAGGACGCTTTCAGCCATAAATCCCTTCTGTAGAGTCCTTCCCTTTATTTGACATGGCATAGGCAAAGTGTAAGAGTCCCACACAGGAACTATGGAGCCAACACACCCCCAAGGAAAGCTTGCAGGATGCAGTTTGTCTCTGGTTTCACTCTGGATCCCTCAGCTCCAACCCACTCCTTCCCAAAGGTGCAAGGTCCCTTGAATAAAAACTCGACGTCTCCAGCAACCTGTCCGCAGGGATCTCTCGTCATGATTTGAAGTATGTATGCTAGGCACTATGGCAGAGAAGCACTATCGCTGGCTTTACATAATTTACAGTCTTCCTTGAAGGAGTAATAAAGGTACAATCATGATATCAAAATGCAAGACACCAATACAAGGATGCTTTTCAACAATGGGTATCAAAGTATAAGCCTGAGTTAAATGAGAAAATATGTGTGGAGGTAGATGCTTACTGAATATTACATTCCTCATTATTTTAAGGGAGGATGAGTTCCATGTGAATTGCTGTTCACTATGGACCCTTTTCTATATATCTCTTTTTCTCAACAGTTAAATGGCTAGATTAATATATCCTGCTAGAAAATGGTAGAAGACTATTACATGTGTCGTTATTTTCTATGAAAGGAGACAATCTACGGTATGCTAAAATGATTGATTCAGAAATATTCAGATAGGGAAATGCACTGGCTTGATTACAAGTGAGGTTTACTATCGTAACCCAAAATTTATTGCTTAAAAAAAAAAAAAAAAGCAGAGAGCCAACTAGGAACAGAAATTATGTACTGCCATAAAAATCAAAAATGAAAGAAACCAACCCGTTGACCTTGAATGTACAGAAACTTGAAGTTCCTTCATTCTTTTTGATAATCCTGGATTTTTCATCTAAATTTCATTTGACCTCAAGCAGACCTGCATTTGGCTTATTACTGAAATTTCATTGCTAAAATTTTCCAATGTAAGAAGTTTTCTAATCAGAAGTTAAATTTATAGAAAATCTCCACTGTATTGAAGAAGTAAGTGTCTGCGCCTGCATTTTGTGCTTTGGGAGTTCGAGTTCGTTTTAGCGTGGTGTTTCCAAATCAGGTCTTCAACCTAAACAGGGAGGAATCACACAGGACTCCAACTCTGAGTCAAAGCCCTGAATGGATGAAAATTTTATCCAGGAATCTCAACTATGCTGAGTTTGTTATTAAGAAACTCCTGAGTTTCGGTTTCTTCCTCTTAAGTAATTGGTGCTTTAGGGCATTCAAAAACCAGGGTCATGATATGATACTTGCAATTTCTTCCTTGTTTTATTTAAGTTTCCTGAGGCCGTCATCTTTTTCTTGCTTCTCCTTTGTTTATCATCACTGTTATTTGACTCTTATGTCAGGGAAATCTGGGTAGTTCTACTAGTGGCGAGATGGTTTGAGCATGCTCAGTCTCCAAGGGCATTTACCTCATCTTCTCCCCAAGCTAACTATCATAACCAGCACTCCTGCTCCTCAAACAGGAAAGGCCCCTTAAAACACTGACCACTCTCGGGAACCAGCAGTTAGCGTAATGGCTATGTCGCTGGACTCCTACGTAGTCGACCGCGGGTCGTGTCCCGGACCCGGTGGCTTAAAACTCACGCCGGGCGCATGTGCGTGCGTGCCCAAGATCCCGAGAGGAGACTGGAGGAGAAGGGATTGCAGCGTGACCATCCCCCCGGGGGGTGATTTCTCGCTTTCTGTCTCTATGTCTCTCTCTGTCTGTCTGGCGAGCGCACGCGCCCTACAGTGAAAATCTCTCCCCCCAAAAAATAAATAAATAAAAATAAAAAAAATAAAAACACTGACCACTCTCCACTACTGATACAAGAGCACACAGCCTTCTCGCCACAGTGTGGCTTAAAACAAAATATGAAAAGCCGAAACAAGAGGTGAGGCCCATGGTTTCTCTCGCTCCCCACCTGCTTCCTGGATCCGAGATGTGATCACACATGCACACACACACACACACTACATGTTTTGTTTCTTTCCCTCCATGTATTCTCTCTTAGGGACAGCTTTGCTGTTGCCTTGAGAGGTTTAAATCTGGAGAGTGAGAGAGCAGTTGAGAATTGGGTTGGATACTTTAATAGTTGCCAGGTTTACACACGTTCTAAGCCCACAACAAAGTCTTCTCCTTGGAAGATAGCTTTGTACTCTAACAATGACCTTTATCTGCATTATCCAAGGGGGTGCGCCCTGTCTCAATCTTTAAATGTGAGTAACATGTGTTTAAGAGAAGAATGTATCAGAGCTATGGAAAAAAAGGATCTGACGTTAGTCTCAGATCAAATTAGAGATTACAAATATTAAAAAAGAACCAACTCTAAGCCCTTGAAGGGCAGATGTAAATGGGATAAGTTTCAATATTACAAGACTAACAAGAAAGAATCATGAGACAAGAATGAAAAACAGAATACATCCACTAGATGTTGCTGCTGGAAGAAACGATAGAGTGAGATCTGGGCTGTACTGGCTGCTTTCCTGCTTACACAGAAAGGCGTTACCTTGGGGGACAGTGGCAATTCCTGGTAAAACTTCATCTTCTTCCAGGGGCAGGTGTCTAGTCACGCTAAGAAAAGAAGAGCCAGAGTCAGTAGTTTTGACATGGATTTGGGAAAAAAGGTAGGAAGTAGCTGCTGATTTCCTTCACAAGTGCTTTCCAACTTGGGGGTGAAGGCAGCCGCTCATCTCCTGGCCTCTTAATACTCTACCCAGCACTACCCAGCAGAATTCCCTGCAATAATGGAGCTGTTGTTCAGCCGCTCAGTCTAGTATGATAACCAGTAGCCTCACCTGGCTACTGAACTCAAGAATCCTGGCTTAGACAATTCATCTTCTGAGGAAATATATTTTTAATTTTTCTTCAATTATAATTTGTTTGTGTTTAAATATCATGTGTGTCTAGTGACTGCCATATTGTACAGCACAACTCTAGCAGGGAAACGTCCTGAAGAAAGCTCTCCCTAGACCCCGTGATGCTTTCATGATCTCCACACCAAGCCTTTGAAGTTGTGGGACCCTGAACAGATTACTTAAATTGTCAGAGCCTCAGCTGCCTTGTCTGTAAGATAGCTGAAGTAATGCCTAGTTCTTGAGGTTGGGAGGATTACATAAGATACATGTGTGTTGGTTCCCAGGCCATCACATATTGTATCCTAACACCCCAACCATATCGGAATGTGGTTCTGGTTTTCTCTGTTTCTTCAAGTAATGCATCCTTGCATTTCAGTAAGCCTTCTAGTGAGAAGCATTCTATGATCCAGTGGTGGGGTCTCAGTCTTCTAGTGAGTCTCTGTTTCTGCAGGGCTCCCCTCCCCAGCTCTCACCCGCCCCTCCCTAGCATACCTGAGGGGAGTCAGGATGGCAAGAGCTGGCTGGTATTGGGCATTTCCCTTCTCCCAGGTCAGTTGGACTCTGAAGTCACCTCCATAGTTTAGGCTCTAATAAAATAGCTTCCTTTGATGGCAGGCCTTGTAAGAAGAGAGGAAGCTCTGGCATATTTCAGAGGGGTTACTTTTCCTCTTTCCTCACCTCTGGAAGCATGAGGAGATTTTCTTTTTTAGATATTCACTGTGGGAACCAAGTTAAGCTCTTAAAGGAAAACAGAAATGTGCAGAGGGCCCCTTGTGACTGGGTCCTAGGGATTTTTTACTTTCAGACTTGCCTATTCTGAGTCTTAACTTACTCATTTTTCTACTTGATCAGTTCTTACTATTGGGATAGAGTGATAACTTCCAAGTTCAGAATTTGGAACGGGAAACCAGAAGTCTACACAGAACTCATTTACTAAACTGGGAGATGGAAAAGAAGAAGAGAAGAGGGAGAGAAGAAGTTGATAGGAAAAGGTAACAAGAGAAGAAAAGGGAAAGGGAGGGAGAAGAGAAGGGAGGAGATAAAAGAGAGTGAAAGGAAAAAGAAAAGGATGACAAGAAGGAGGAAGAAGAAAATGTAACCTAGTATAGCATTTGGCATACAGTAGGCAATTGATAAATAGAAGCTCCTTTTCATTTTCCTGGGTGATTCCTCACAAGACATGTGCCCTAAGAAACCCTGCTGGCTCCTTGCACGGAGACTGCCTTCCGTGGGCTATGTTCACCTCTCTATGTTGAAGAGTCAGTTACTCTAAATCACAGATAAACAGCATCAGATGGAGAAGATGGAATAGTGGGTTTGAAGTCTCAGGTCCCCGGTCACCCAAAGGTCTGTGACTCAGGTGGTTAGGTGCCTAAGTTCTTGTGACATTACACAATTCTGACATTGCCCTCACTTTAACAGTATATCCTGCCATCTACAATCTATGCATGTAAGTAGGAAAAATCAATAAAGATAGAGACATGTGAAAAAGATGCAAGTGGTGACCGAAAGTGCTCCCCATTGGCTGAGTGGAAGGCTCTGAGTGTCGAAATATGCAACCAGTATTACAGTCTAACCCAAAGTGCAAAATAGATATCCTGTGTTCTTACTGACAGAAATACATACATAAACGGGGAGAGGGGACAAATCTCCCACCCATACAAATTCCAAATAATGTGTGTAGACATGACACAAAGACTAACATCTGTGGTTTATTTTTTCATTATTTATTTACTTATTTCTGTCATTGCTGTTTTTGTTATTTGTGATGTTGTTTACTAAAGATTTGTTTGTGCTGTTCATTTGTTTAAAATTTGAGGAAAGTGGGACCAGTAGGTAGCCTGGTGGTTAAAACACTGGATTCCCACATGGCTGACTATAGCTTGGGTCCCATACCTGGTGACTTGAAACTCACATCAGTTGCATGTGTGTGCATGCCCCAAATCCTGAGAGGAAACTAGAGGAGAGGGGACTGCAGTGTGTACACACCTCCCCCCCACCCACCCCGGAAGATGATTTCCTGCTTTCTGTCTCTGTCTCTCTGGCGAGTGCATGCACCCTATAGCAAAAATCTCTAATTAAAAAAAAAATAGAGGAAAGTAAGAAAGCTAAGTGATAAGGATGAAAGTCAGCACTGAACATTATCCAAGTCTCATTCAATGAAGGGAGCTGGTGTATGGAGAGGGCACAGGGGGCTTACTACAACAGTGACATCCGTGTTACGATCCATCATGCGTTAATGTTGCATCGTGGTCTTCAGGTATTAACGTGGGTTGTTATGGGTGTGGCTTTTCTCTGAGAAGGAGCACATTGACTTGGATGAACTAGTGGGGTCTTATTACACTGTGATTCCACTCTTGTCTCTCTAGTAGAAGAAACATCTATGTAGGAAATTTCCTCCAGGGGTATAAAACCCTTTGGAACTGAACTTTGCTCATCTTCCCAGCACCACCTGGGTTAGGGGCAAGCTCTGCTCTTTACAGCAGCGGCCTCGACACTCCGGTTGATAAACTCAGTAGGGCCATGTGGAAAAGCCCAGGTGGGCTCCAGCCCCTCACAGAATCCAATGTCTGGACACTCAGCACCTTTCCTAGGCTGCGTCATCTGAAGAATCTGCCCAAGTAATGAAAACTGCTTTCACTTGAATTTTGCGAGTGTCACTCCTATTTTTGTTTGTTTTTGAGAGGTTTTTGCTATAGGGCATGTGCGCTTGCCAGAAAGACAGAGAGAAACAGAGAGACAGAAAGCGAGAAATCCGCCCCCCCCCCAGGGGAAATGGCCACGCCACAATCACTACTCTTCCATTCTCCTCTCAGGATCTTGGGCACGCATGCACACATGTCCAGTGTGAGTTCAAGCCACCAGGTTCGGGACTCAAACCATGGTCAACTACATGGGAGTCCAGCAACATAACCATTACACCATCTGCTGATCTTCCTGTGTTTTTCTAATGAGTCCACCACAGAGGAGTGAAATGAGTTAGCCCCGATTGAGTCAGCATCCTCCAAGGAAATGTGATTCCAGAACTTCCTCCAGGGAACTTTCTCAAGTGAAAATCAAAACAAAGGGTAGGTCTCAAATACGCTCTCTCGCCACCTGATCCAACATCGTCAACCACTCCCCGGACATCCTCAGGAGAAGAGGCAGAACCTCTGGGCTCTTTCTGATCTAGAACTACCTCTCTAAACTCCTCTTCCATTCTCTTCTCACACCCTTCACACAGAAGAACTATACTCTTTGTGCTTCCAAGCCTCCACGTGACATGCTGTCCTCGTTGCTGGAAATGAACCCCTTCCACTCAGCCAGGTTGCCAATCTCCTTTTACTACTCAAAATTCACATCAGAAACTTGTATAGAGATTTTTGCTATAGGGAGCATGTGCTCACTGGAGATACAGAGACAGAAAGAGAAAGTGAGAAATTACCTTCTAGGGGTGATGGCCATGCCACAGTCCCTTCTCCATTCTCCTCTTTGGATTTTGGGCATGCATGTACACACACACACGTGACCTGAGTTTCAAGCCTCCAGGTCCAGGACTTGAACTGCAGTCACCCATGTGGGTGTCAGTCCAGTGCCTTAACCACAACAACCACCTGCTGGCCCCTACATCAGAAATGTCTACCAACACAGAGTGAAAACTATCCTGGTTTGCATGGGACTAGAGGTTACCCAGAATTTCAGAATCTCAGCGCTTAAACCAGGAAAACTTCAGGCAATCCAGGAAAAATTGTTCACCCCTAGAAAATCTCTCATTGATGGAATAAACCCCTCCACCCTCTAACTCTACTACCCCTTTTATTGCCCCTTTTACTTTTATTTTTTATTTTTATTATTTTTTTTTGGAGAGATTTTCACTGTAGGGCGTGTGCGCTCGCCAGACAGACAGAGAGAGACATAGAGACAGAAAGCGAGAAATCACCCCCCAGGGGGGATGGTCACGCCGCAATCCCTTCTCCTCCATTCTCCTCTCAGGATCTTGGGCACGCACGCACACACGCCTGGCATGAGTTTTAAGCCACCGGGTCCGGGACACGAACCGCGGTCGACTACGTGGGAGTCCAGCGACATAGCCATTATGCTAACTGCTGGTTCCCTACCCCTTTTATTTTTACTGCTACTGTAAGTGACACATTGCATTGTATTTACTCACATCTTCCCTACTGGACTTTAAACTCATAAGATAGGGTCTGTGTATCATTTATCTTTTGTAGCCTTAGGCAGGGTTCCTCAAGGGTACTAGCATGTTAGACTCACCTGAGAAGCTTGTTTTTTTGTTTTATTTTTCTGTACCTTTTAAAAATATCAGTGCACAGGTCTCCATCCTTAGAGATTCTGGTTTAATTGATCTAAGTTGAGGCCTGGGTCTGGGCTATTTTTTGAAGCTTAACCAAGTGATTCTAATGTGCACTCAAGGTTGCTAACACCTGCTCTAGGGTAATGACTCTCAGCTGGGAGTAGTGTACACAGCAAAACTATACACATCACCCGAGGCCCAGCTCCCCACAGATTTCAATTTAACTCATCTGGAATGAGGTCTAGACAGCGGCATCTTTAAGCACCAGGTGACTCTACTTCATGATCGTGGTTAACCAATGTTTAAACACCTAAAGGGATTTCAAAAAGTTTGTGGAAAATTCACCTAAACTATAAGTGTATTTTGGTGCAAAAATTTTGAAATCCATGCCTAGTTTGCTCAAAATGCACATTTCCTATGAA